GTATTCTACAGCAAACTTGTCTTGTATTATTATTGACTGAAAATACCAACTTTTTAAAATGACAAAGTACAGTGGTAGATCCGGGGCCCAGCCTCGGCCTTACCCAGCCCAAGAAAAAAAACAAAAGATGTTTTAGTTGAAAAACAGTAAGAGAAAGGTGATAATTTCCCTCCCTTCCAACAGTGCAAAAAGCCCCCAAATTTAGCCTCAGTCTAACTCAAAATGGCACCCTCAGAGAAGAGAGTGAACATTTGATATCAGATGTTGAGTATTAATTGCAAAACTTTCAGCAACCAGCACATTTTTTCAGAAGAGTAAATGTACTTTTGCACTGGTGCAAGTTTTCGTGGAACATAGCATTTCGTCCATTCTACAAAATAGGAATTTTAGAAATCTTAATAAGTAGACACTTGTAACAATTACATTTAAAACTCATTTTTACCATGCGAACTAATACAACCTCATATCCTAATCCTCTTAGCAGGAGATAATTCAGAGTTTTCCTTCTTGTTCCAGCTGATGGTTTCTTAGAGACAGTATCAGGACAGGTCATCCAGGGAGCATCGCTGGCCCTCTTGTCACAGCTTGGAATCAACCCAGACTTCTTTAGCAGTCAACCATGTGTCAACCCCAGCGGAGCCCAGTCTAATACCAGTAAGCTCCCTGTGATGTATGTGTATGAAATGGACTTGTTTATCCAATAAAAGCAATTTGTATTGATTATATACTGTACAGTGTTTCCTGTAGATGTACATGTGCATGTGGTCTATTGGACGCATGGATACTACATGTATGTGCAATCATGCAATGTACATGTACACTGTAAGCATTCTGCTGATGATGTCATCAAATCAGCCTGGGAGCACCAACGGCCAAAAGGGGATTTGTGTGGGCGGGGAAATGCAGGATCTTTTTATTCATTTTGGGGTCATCATTAATGGGGTAGCATTGAATTTGTGATGTTTTTGATATGGTTACGTATTTATTGTTGTTTTGAAATACTTCACATGAAATAAATGTTTTCAATTTCTGTTAACCTTTACGGCATCCAGTTACAAATCTTTGGCTTAACTCTGTGCAATTTTAGATTGTCCCAGTATGCAGCTACCCAGTACCCTAGCCTCCCAGGCCCACTGTGCCATCCTCAACACTTGCTATGGTGATGCAGTGCTGTCTGGATGTGAACCTTAAACCATCCAGTTACAAGTCTTTGGCTTAACTCTGTTCAATTTTAGATTGTCCCAGTATGCAGCTACCCAGTACCCTAGCCTCCCAGGCCCACTGTGCCATCCTCAACACTTGCTATGGTGTGCAGTGCTGCCTGGATGTGAACCTTGGACCTTTGAATCATGTACTCAGTGCATCTATGGTGATAGATCCATGCCTGGGCCAGTTGACTTTACAGTTTGATAACTGGCAGCACAATAAATCTCTATCCCATCTTGACTTTGACGCCAGTCAGGAGGTTGCAATTGGCAACTTTGCCATGCTCAGGTAAACATTTTCAATGTCTCTTAAGATTTTCCCTTCCAAGGACTTCACAGTGTTGACAGAAAGCGCATTCTCTCAGAGGATGGCATTATCATCATTAAGCAGCACCTGCAAAATGCAGCTGGCAAGAGTCAGCCACCCAAATTTATCTCTTATTTCAGCTGTTCCTGATCTCAATCACTAAATTACCACTCAATTTATAACAATTAAAGATCTTGATGTATTGAAAATTTAGTCTAGATTAACATCTGGTATTGTCAGTCTCACCAAGGCTTTTGAATCCATCAGATGAATAATTTGTTCAGTGAAATTGAAAATGTTTTTCATTTTCTGCGTGACAATAATGCAGGTACACACTGGTGCTGATGGATAGTGATTTGTCAGTCACTCTGTCTGTTGATATATGCATCGATGGACATTGCACTGGAGAACTCAGGATTTTAGATGATGCAGTATCCCCACTGCCTGTGTGCTACCCTAATGGAACCATCTCTTGGAATACTCTGCCAGGTATAACTTGCTTTGTTTCCTGTCAAAAATTAGGAGACCTGTGAAGACCTTTCTCTTTTGCTGATGACTTGACAGTATTGCTGTATTTCCTGTCATTTCTCCCAGGAATAACATCCATGTCTCGGCTGGGAGGACTGGATGCTGGATTGGAGGCTGTGGCTATGGCTCTCGGCTTACCATCTCGTCTAGTCTCAGCCTCACCTTGCCCTCGTATGTTCCGACCAAGACAGTCCGGAGGTAGGAACAGAAACAATGTCAGCATGTGATTTGACTCTGAAGCTTGGTCAGCGGGATAAGCCTTTGCATGTCTGAGAATTGACTTTGACGAATTTAGGAATCTGTTCAATAAAAGTGATATTTGAAGTAATTTGAAATCTTTGATTACTTTAACTCTTCAGGATGTCCTCTACATGATTTCAAATTTTTGAGGCACAAAATTTCATCTCGTTAATTACTAGAAATACATGTAATTATGTGCAGCAAACTCAGTTGTTCACTTTGATGAAGTGACAAATCTCTGTGATACTAGCTATAATTTCACTTGATCTGTATTTAGATTTACAAGTAGTCTGTACAGTTTCCATTCTGATGAAGGAATGAGTCTGCCCTCGAAAACGTTTTCTTTTTTATTCACCACATATGCACCCCAAATCTTTTGACAAACATGTTACCAAGTAGCATCTCTATTTTCATTTTTATGAAGTAATCAATAGTTTCAGTAATTAATAGTTTCTTCTTAAACATTGATTTTATAGAAACAGACATTCTTTTTGCTGTTTAACAAATGGATTTTCATACTTGTGACATACTCTTCAATTTTAGGGAAATGTCTTTGATAATGTACCCGGAAATATACAAAGTATACAAATTAAAAAATAGATAACTTCAAACACAGTTTGCTCAATCACAAGTTTGCAGCCATAAGCATATGTTGGGAATTTAATTGTTAAAATAATTTTGAAGTGCCTGGCAATTTGATGGGTTATAATTACTATCATAAGCTGACGCTAATCGATATTTGTGGTTATTCATCATTTTCTTCTTTTAGCATGTCCACACCTCCCCTCTCTACCCAACCTTCCGTCAGGGGGTATATGTCACTATGCAGATGCCTGCCTAGGGGTGAAGTGCTGTCTGGCAGAAGATCTCGGCATCATCAGTCGCGCCCTGAGGGTGTGGCTGACTGTAGATCCCTGTGACTTCAAACTGAGTGTTGGGTTTGAGAACTGGAGTTACAATATCACTCTTTTGAGGTAAGAAGCGAAAGCCTTGATGCAGACACAAGGGCATGCTTGTCAACTGTGATTTGCCATTAATAGTCACATTTTACCTGATCAGAGGACAAGTATTTTCTGAGATTTGATGGGTGCTTTAGAGTCAATCATTTGCATTTACCCAAAGAGTAACTGATGAAAGTATTTTTGAAAAGCATCCTTGGTTTCAAGATGGTTATGGGATTGAACTCCCTGTGAAAGTGTTCTTTTTTGGCCAGCTGTCATTTGGAGAAAACAGTAAAAGAAGGCCATTTCCAACGATAGGTCTAGAGATACATTTTTGGAAATTGCCATCAGATGTACCTGCATTGACAGTATACATGTGTGTGTGGATACTGGTATTTGTTGGTTCCTTGTGTTACATCTTGTAGTTGCACAATTCAAAACATAACTCAGCAACTTTTGATCTGAAATTGAAATCTTAGAATATGTGATGACTCAAACCAAGGTCTAACACTGTTTTTTTTTTCATTTTTGAAGGGATTTGGCAGTGTTGTTTTATCAGTGTCACAAAAAACTTCAAGATAACCGGATGAAGTGTTGTGAACATTTCGAGTTATGGCAATATTTGTGTACATTAAAGCCTGTTCTTTTGGTGAGAAATTGTTAAATGGTCTTTCGACTTAACTGACTTCGAGTTATCAAGATTTTATTGTACATCCCCGTCTGTATAACTTTTGCTGGCCACTTGGAAAAAAGGGCAAGAGGTGCTGCATGGCCAACGCGGGACAATCATCCAGCCTGCAAAGTCATTTTCAGCGGTGCACTTTTCCTACATTTAATATTAGTGGAACCATTGATGCACTGTCTTGGTGGTTCAGCACGCAGCACAATGACCTTCATGGTTGGATGGTCGATCAGCGCTGCTGTGCGGGTTATACGCCATTGCGTCATATACGCCGACTTTAAATCTTAATTTGCCAATTTTTGCATGCAGTGGCTAATGTACTGTGTGGTTTATATTCTGAAAATTAGGGTACTTATCAGGTTTGTCCTTAGGATTCAACCTGCAGACTTCAAAAACCTTGATGAACAGTCAGTGCAAATTAATGGGACAATTAATCTAAATAACAAAAACTACTTCATGTCTGACTTGCTATAGTTACCAGTGGGGCAAAGTGATGCAGGAAAGACTGAGTGATGCTGTCTCCCTTTCCTTCACCATCGATAAGACGACTGACAACCGTAACTTCTTCCTGTCCCTCTCCATCCAACTCTGTATCGCTGGAGTCTGTGCTCCAGACATTGTCATTCTCCAAGACTTTATGACACCCATACCATTCTGCAATCGGAATGGGACGTTGGAGTGGGCTCAAGATATGGGTAATGCTTTATGGTCTGTTTTTTTAGAAATGGGGACTGACAGAGACATGAGATGAATGAAGTCATTGTGGAATTAAATGACTGGGTTTCATGTTTTATAGCGTAGTTTGTTCACTTTTGGGTGAGGGAAAATTTTTGATATTGGCCTTCCTTGCTCAAAATTAAATTTCTGAAGTGTCCCCATTTTTCCAGGCCATATTAGAGATTATGCAAGTGGCTTAGTGAAGAACCGTCTCGGAGTCAGTGCTGATGTTCTTCTACCTCACCCATGTAATGGTCCACCAGCACAGATCACACCAGCAAACACAGGCAAGTGGGGGAGATTATATCCAAGCTGCATTCATTATAAATATTTGGTGTTTTACCAGCTCAAGAGGTGGTAATACCCTTTACCTGTCCTTGTTTTTTTTTTTGGTTTTTTTTATTTCATGGGAACAGCCGTGAGATTGATCTATGGTGTTTTTATTCCAGTTGTCTGGAACAGCAAAACTTAAAATGGGTTTCATTAGAAAAGAGAGACACTTACCTTGGCTCTTTCCAGGGAGGTCAAAACGATCAGTGGTCGCAGACCAACCAACCATTAGAGGGTGGTTACTCAAGTGGAAAGCATTTTTAAAGAAGGCTGAATATTTTTTTCTGTTTCTCTTTCTTTTTCTCAGTTTTGTTTTTTCTTTTCTTCAAATGTTTTCATTATTCGTAATGCCAAGAGTCATTGTATGTTATTCATATAAACTCTGGCAAATGCATTTCTTGACCATAATCTTTCTCCTGCTACTGAGACATACGGCAACCATATAATTATGAATTGGTTGTGGATTTTATTCTTGTGATCCGCTTTTGATGGACTGGACTGCGTTGAGCCGTTCCAGATATACATGTATGCCATGTTTAAGTTCACATAGTGCAGAGCCAGAAGGCATAATTAAGGCTTCCATTTTGCCTTGACATGATACTACAAGGTTGAATATCCTCCATTTTGTTTTGTTGTAGGGGACTGTAGCTTGCTTACTCTGCCATCTCCAGTGGCATCATTCTGCTCCTGGGATCAGTCATGTCTTGGGGTTGGTTGCTGCTTGAACTTTGACCTTGGTGTGGTTCAAAGGTCATTTTCTGTCTGGGCAAAGCTGGACCCCTGTGCCCAGACTTTCTCATTTGGATTTGAGAGGTGGAGTCATGTGGAGATGTTGAACATTCAAGAACTGCAGAGTAAGAAAGAATTATTTCAGTTTTTCCCTTCCTTCCTAATTTTTAAGATATTCATGAGATGAAACTGACCTGCATAAGGAAGCTTGTTTGAAAAAAGTAATTTTGAAGGTGCTTGTGTCATTTGTTTAACTAAGGCCCAGCAAAGAATTAGTTGTGTTTCCTATTACACTGAAAAATAAATCAGAGTGGTTGGTTGGGTAAAATATTTTTTTACTCTAAATTTTTATAGTCCAAAAAATTAGGGTCGGATGATGGTCTTTTTTTTGGGGGGGGCGTATATTTGTAACAGGTACCAAGTCCATGTCATATTAATACTGTACATGTGCATGTCAATATTACATATCAGCACTGTGACTGAGTAGTAAAGCAGCTGGTTTTTGAAGTACAAACACACAAGAGCCGTCCATCTCATGAATAATAATACAATGTCCAGGAAGATGTACACATAATTATGCTCAGGGCAAGGCACCATAAGTTCTTATATTTTATTGATTTGTCGAATAAAAAGATATAGGTTCAGCATGATTATCTAGATTGGGTCGGATAACTGGAACACAGCTATTTTTTGTTTGGCTTAAAGAAATACGTGTGTACATGTCAGTGGTAAAGATTGACACATCAATTGCACCTAGTTAGATCTCTGTGTAGAAAGCAGTAGTTGCTGACCAGGAGTAACTAAATGTTTCTCATGTAATGGAACAGTGTCAGTGTTTGTACATCAATAAACACTAATACCACAAAGAGTGCAACATTTCATTGAAAATTTAAGCTTTCAAAAGGATTTGAGATGCGGCTGAAATTTTCAATTTGAAATATACATGTATGGTTTTTATTAGAAATAGAAAAATTTGTCTGAATATCTACCCTTTGTCTGTGTATCAAAAAAGAGTAAAAATCGTTTCACATTTCATCTCTCTCCAGCTCATTCCTTTGAGAAAAACCTTGGACTGCTAAAAATCAGGTCAGTCAGTCAGTCATATTTCTAGGGTTTTTGGATTGAAAGAGGTGTTCAGGTTTTGATGATTTTGTTGGCAAGATGAAATGCAAGCTGTTGGAATAATATATGCAATATGGGCGTTTCACAATAGTGCACCTCCAAGAGTTTGCAACGCTTGACCAATCACAGTGCGCAAAATCTGTCGACCTGATGCGCGTATGGAAAGGGTCAACAGATTTTATGCCTTGTGATTGGTCAACGCGTTGCAAACTCTTGGAGGCGCACTATTGTGAACCACCCGTTTGATAGTAGCATTCAAGTTTTAAAAATTTGTCACATATTTTTCAGTTTGCTTTGAAAGAACTGTATGGCATTTTTGTCTTTTACTGTTTTTTGTCATAACACCATTATATTTTAAATCCAACAACAGTTTCCTTTGATTTACGGTACATAGCTTTTCTTTTTTTCATCCGATTCATTGAACTTTGGGAAGCTTGTTCTCCCTCTTAAAATAATTGTTCGAATAATCAAATACGTTTCCAACAATATGAATATTCATAAAGAAAATTTTAATTTTTTTTTTTTTTTAAAGTAGCCACACTGAAATATGCCACAGTACTACATATGCCTTGTTTTTTTAGAGGATAGGTTTTTCTTTGACCAGTTTTGATAAACTAACCCTAAAAAAGGACTTCTGTACCGGTACTGAATTTGTCTAATCTTTAAGAAACATTAACTACAACTGTACGGTAATATGTTGCACTACGAGATGGAATTTTTTTTGTTAATGGCAATGTTTTGCTCATCGGAGGTTCATCTTTCCCATCTTTTGAGCAGCTTCAAGCCCATTGTCAGCAAGTTTGCATGTTTGATCATACATATTTTTGAATGTTGAATACTATAAGTTATTAGAAAATGAACAGCCCTATAGACAATTGTATTTAAGCAAAATTTGTGTTGGGCCCCCCCTCCCAACTGTGGATAAGCCTTCGGAAACGTGGAACTGCGTTCGAAGGATTTCTCTGTTCCAACAGCATTCTTCACAATTCCTATTCATACAACAAAGTTATACGTATAATATATACATCGTGCATGTGTATAGTGTCCTCCACATGGTTGCTATATTAATGTTCCGTACGAATTCAAAGAGGATCAATATACAGGACAGTCATGAAATCTTTACACTTGAGC